AGAAGAGGGTACACAATATTCGAAACACATTCTTGTTGGTTGACATTGTGATGAACTTATTTTGGGTCTTCGTAAAATTGTTATCCCTTGCTTGGGTATAAACATTTCGTGTGAGGTCATAGCGGGTCCGTTTGTGTTTAGGCTGATTTTCAGGAAAAGGTGAAATTCAAACACGGAATTCACCGAAATGTGGTCAATAAATCATCTAATTAAGTGAATGCATTCCTTGCTTCCATATTTTTAAGCCTTTTGTGGATTTCGCTGTCTTGCGATCATGCTTTTGTGCACACTAACGCGTCATTTTCTTGAGAGGAGGGATGGGAGATACTGATAATTTCATTAAAAAATTTACAACTAAAAAGCGATTCATAGCCTTGTTACAATTTTGTCATTACGCGAAATAAGTAGTAGCACGAAGTGTTTCATAAATCGGATTAATTTTGTAATGATAACTGTTTATTAAACCTAGAAATTTTAACGAGTGAATCAAGTATAGGTGGCGCTGATTTCAAACTATGGTGACGATGGATTAATCCAGTTTCTTTTTGTACAAAAGGAGAGACATTCAGCGAAGAGTTGATATTTCCAACTATATTAGTCTTGGGTTGCACGTTCGTATACATATATATATATATATATATATATATATATATATATATATATAAAGAAATTAGATGGCACCAAAAAGAATATTTTTAAAGATTTTTCTTTAAAACTGTGTTTTAGGCAACACTTACATATTGCCAGGTGAAAACTCTAGCAGAGAACCGAACGCAATGGAGACGCACGGCTGAAGCCCTATGTTCCTCTAGGAATTAAAGGAAACAATAATAATAATACATATTGCAGAAAGTGTAGATCAGATATGAAATAAAATAAGTAGACTGAGCTGCGTAATATGAATGATAGGAATGAGCAGAGCTCAACTAGAACTGAAAGACATTCAGGTTAAGACCAGTGTCATTAAGAGTTCAAATGAAGTAGAGGAGAAGAAGAAAAATATTATAATTTAGAAACAAAAATTTAAAAAATTAGGGTTGACAAAATTATGTAACAAGTGTTAAAACAGATTAGGTCGACTGTTGGTTGTTACTGACCATATGTCTACTGTATGCAGAGTTTAAAACTTAACTTGTAGATTGATGAAGCGAGATTTCCTCTTCCTCTTAAGGTAACTCTGAAGTTGGTTTGCTGGTTAGCTTGGTGTCCATAGTCAGCCAGCTGTTTCAGAACAGAGCTGCAGGGACTTCTCTTTTCTATTTTATAAAGCCATGTGGGTGTGTCCGATGATATATTTGGATAATAAACGCTAAGTACGGTCGTCATACCTAGCTCCACATGAGCAGATGAACTGATAGATGCACACTGATTAGGCTAGCAGTGATAGCTTATCCTTCACGTTCTTTTGGGTCATTAGTGAGTCAAATTTCAGCGGCGAAAAAGGTTTCCTTCAGTAGACAGGGCAGGAGGTTTCTCGGCATTTCTGCTGATGAGTCCCCATTGAATTGTGACTTTGGATAGAGAAATATTTCAGGCGTAGAAAGTTTGAATTGTTTAAGTCGAATGAATTATGAGACGAAGCATTCTGAATAGTCATTTTCAATGAGAATAGTTTATACAGTGTTCAGCTCCTCTTCCATCGTGTCTGGACTGCAAATGTTGTGATTTTTTGTAGCTCAATATGCGGATCAGGTTTCTTTTTGTGCATGAAGGCAACTGACTGTGGAAGTTTGTGATTTATCCGTTTTCTATGCATAGATCTCCACTGCATTTTGTGACTTGAACGATGAGGAAGGATATTTTTGTGTTGGACTCCTTCTGTCACGTGTTTTTGAGTTTCAAGATGATTAACTCTGCCAGCAGCAGACCAAGTGGTGAACCCATAGCTATATCATCCTTTGAATGCGTAATACAATGTACCGCTGATTGACTGAGAGGTGCAGTTGTATATCACTTACATCATGAAAAGTGCTTACTAGCCATATCAAAGTGACCTAAACAGAGGACGGTCATTTCGCTCATTTTGGACTGGGCTTGTCAACAGTTTGCTTGTTTGATTTAACTCAGAAAGTCAAATCACTTCAAACCACCTGATTTCTGGCTAGCTACTCAAGCGGACTAATAACACCGTAATTCTAATTCTCAATTTGCAATTCACGTAGCTCGAGGAGGTGAAATTTCCCCACAGTTTCCTTTGAAAACCAGAATTACTCAGATTACAATATGTTGAACATACAATTTTAGTGACGACTCTTTGGAAATATTGCTTTTGCTGCTATGAGGATTTACTATATGTATTTTTGTTTTATTCCTGTACATTCCCAGTGGAACATAGGGCTTCAAGCTAGAGGCTTGGAGTTTCAGTAGCAGTGGTGTTTATTTCTACGGAATGGGCTGTCTAGCCTTATGCCTAACCTTCTCTCTTTACCAGTGTTATTACTGGCTTAGCGAGGTAAAAGAGTACGTCGTCCGGGGATCGAACCCCAGACCATATGCGTGGTTGGCGGACATTATATCGCTGTGCCACCAACACATCATTATTTATATTCGACCGCGCAACCTGAGAATGATGTATCTGAAAAGAGTGACTTCTTGCTGAACACCTCTTCCTATTATATGACTTAAAGTAAATTTCTAAGATTCCATTCTGGAGAAAAAAAATGGATCATAGAGTAATTTTTAACCAGGTTTCGTCAGACTGAATCTTGATTTCAAAATAAATTAATGCATCAGAATTTCTGTAACCCGACGACTACCTGAATTTGGTAAGAACTATCCACATTTAGGAAGGGGTTTCATACAAAAAAAATAATATTTTGGGCTTTAATTGAGTGTTCTAGCGAAAGTTGTATAATAATGCATAACATACTCTAACGAATATGAGGATGAAGACATCAAGTTTAATAATAGCAGAGCTAAGTTCTTTGTGAATAAATGATATCGTTCGTTTTCTGAGCAAATCATTTTCTTCAGTGTTCATCAGTAATATAAATAAGATAATAAACTATGACTAGAATTAACAGTCTCCATGAAAAATTGAGTACAGTTCAAAATCAAATGGAATGTATGAAACAGAATATTTCATATAATGAGAATTTTTTGTCACTCAATGAAGGCAGATAATTTTTATCGTCTTCTTTAGCTGAAATAAACTCTCAGCAACACGTTTCCTGTTACATAAGTATTGTGACTGATGACTGACTGGTTTCAACACAGAACCTTGCATAGAAGTGCAGCAGTTTGAGATACCACACTCCATGTAGCACACAAAGCAAGAGAAGAAAGTAAATAGAGATTCAAAAGTGAAATAATAAACAGAAGTGTGAGGGAGAAAGAACAGTAATTTGGTAGAACAATAGCACTTTATTGGATATTACAAATCAAAAAGAGTGAATGCATTTTCACCAGCCATTGAGAACAATTTTAAGCCGTATCATCTTTACCATCCCGTGGACCTCAACCAAGAAGTTTACACCTCCATACGTAACTGGCCTAAACTAACTGTTGTGGATTTCATTGACTGACGAAGCCACATTTTGTTTCGACCACCACTAGTTCTTTTCTAACTTGATCGTATGCCAGTTGACATCGCCCGTCGAGGGAGGCGATGGCTAGGGATAAACGCGTAACTCCTGTCCTAACCATCTCTCTCAATCGATATAACTTCACAACCTCATCGGTTAGTTTCTCCCCCCTCTTACCAAGCACTTGACAGACACCTGACTTCAGTATTTCTCACCGTGCTATACTGTTTAACACGAGAGATAGAATGGAGACGCCTATGATCAAAAATTATGAATAACCCTTTTTCAATGTACTCAAGATTGAGAAGTATACTATCACTAAGGTAAACTCAATTTTCAACTCTCTGATATTGTTCTAGAGGTGAACTTAAAGTTAATGACCACGTGATTCTCGCACATTATTGAAAAATCTGCCTTCGGTAGCAGCTTATGCCTTACTATTAACAACGATCAAAATGCCAACTATTGACTAACGAAGATTATCTCCAGTGAAGCGGGAAATATTGTTTGTCTCCACAGAGACTAAAAAAAAGAATCAGGGAGAAATGAAGTCAGAGTTACTCAGGACATGAAAGCATGTGATTTATACAACCTTCCACGATTTTCTGTCGTAAAACTGTAAAACAATTAAAACGGTCTTTCCTTTGTTCCCACTGATATTTGTCTAAGTCTTTAATAATTTCTGCTTTTTTCAAACATTGGTTTTGTGGGGATTTAGTTTGATTAGTTGGAGGATTTCATCGTGAGCTGACATCAGGCAGAGAACCATTGGAAAATCAACTGGGAGTACTGAACAAATGTTTCGTCCCAGTTTGGGACTCTTCGTCGGTGTCAGCCCACCATCAGGGTTCGAACCTAGGACCTTCTGGTTACAAGGTCAATGAACTCACTAGGGCCCGATTCAATAACCTACGAATTCTAACGTCTGACAATTCATGACATGGTGCGACCACCTCGCAATGTCTTCTTCGATGAGTTACTGCCTCACCTTCAACCTGCGGTGCCCCTGGTGGTCACGACTTCCCACTAGAACCCCATTTCGACTGCCTGAATAGGGTCAGTCGCTAGTTAGCTTTTGTCGAGACAATATATATATATATAAACTTCAGTGCAAATGATGTATGTGTATACAGAGTCCGAAGCTGTGTCTACATTTATCACTGGAAATGACTCGCACTTTGTAAAGTTAAACTACTATGTACTGTAGGAGAGAAACTGAAAACTAATGACAGCAATAATATTATCATAATGGAATAATTTACTATATGATTTTGTCATTTAAATCAATATTAGTTTATCTACACACACAAATGTATATGCTTCTTGTCATAAACTGATATATTCAAACTAGCTAGTATGAGGTGTTTTAATTTTAATTGGTCGATTTGAATATCTGATAGCTAGTTACTATTGGTTGGTAAGTGTCTGTTGAGAGTAGACAAGACAAGAAAAGGGAATGGTTGTAGAGTTTTTAGGGAAGACATTAAACAGGAAAAAAACATCTGCAAAAAAAAAATACGAAAACGAAATATTCAGGGTAGATACTATACACATGAGAAAGAAAACAGTCTCTAAAAGTTCTTGTCTATCAGTTCCACTTTCATTCAGTAGTAACTAATCTAGTTGTATTGAGTAGTGTCATTTATTATTTATTGAGAAATCCCTATCATCAGTCTATATCTATCAATAAATCTCTATACATTTATGCAGCCTTAACATTATTAGATAAACCCAAACTCCTGAATTTACAAAACAATCAGTTAGATATTATCAGATTACACGGATAACTCTTCGGTAAGTCGTATTGATAACATAATGTTTAGTTATTTCATATGTATCTTTTTTTGATTCCTTCACGTTCCCAGTGGAATATAGCGCTTCAAGCTAGAGGCTTGAAGTTTCGGTAGCAGAAGTGTTTATTTTTACAGGATGGGGTTGCTAGCTTCATGCCCAACCTTAACTCTTTACCTGCTTTATTTCTGGCTTAGCGAGGTAAAGGAGTACGTCGGCTGGGGATCGAACCCCGAATCACATGAGGCGTGGTTGGCGAGCGTCCTAACCGCTGTGCCACCGACGCACTCATATGTATCTTCCATGAGATAAATAAGCGCTACAAGTATTACTAAAGCAAAATAATTCATCTTGAATGTAGTCTTACACTGTGTAGGCTTTCAGAAGTTCTTCTCAAGTTCATTCATTCGGCGAATTATTTGGCGCAACAAGTAAAGCACAGTTGTTGTGTTTTGTTTTTTATAGAAGACCATGGGCTTACAGGATTTCACTTTCAGACTAAAACAAGTGCATCGAACAGTGATCATTAACATTTGAGAATGGAAATCCCTTTTGAACATGTATTGCCTTCTAAACAACCTGAGAAAATTGGTTTATCCTTGCAAAATTATGAAATGAAGGCATGGGACTGCTTTGCATTAGCTTTTAATTAAGGGATAAAAAAAAGGAAGTGGTTGGATGTATTGATCACTTCAGTTTTTCGACAAGTTGCATCTGTTCAACTGGATACATTGCTGAGGAATTCTCTTCATGTATAAAAAGAGGCAAATATGATATTTGTCAACTTGATGCATCTTTGACACAACCATGACGTTCGATACTCCATTAAAAGTTAATTTAGTATATCCTGAATCATGACTTACACAAAGCTACTGAGAGTAGATATGAAATCCTGACAGATTTTGTTGTTGTAGAACGATCAATCCTATTTAAATCTTCACTCTGTCTCTTTCAAAGTAGCTTCTTATTTTTCCTCATTTGTGTTACATCCTCTCAAATCACTATATTTCAGAAATGACTAGATCATAAACCACTGGATTCTCTAACAATTTATGAACGTTTCTATCATAATCATTCCGTCTAAACACAAGACGTAAATTATTAGCCATATTATTTCCAAAGCGAAAACACTCTCTCATTTATTTCGTAATCTCTAGTCAGTTATTGCTTAAATGTATTTGTCTAGCCAAATTATTTGAATGTGTATACTGTAGTCTGGGTATATTAAAAATACTCAGTGATTATAAACAAATGTTTCATGACATAACACTTTTTAGGTATAAATCGCTGTTTTATTCCATCTGCTTCTTGATTAGTAGCATACTTTTCTTAAATACTGATCGAAATCTATCTGTCTATCTTTAGATATCATAGATGTCTTTTGTGAAGTGTGACAGTTAATACTTGTAAAATCTTTGTTCTTAATTCATCTAACAAATTTAAAATTCTCTCCCCAACAAACTTCTATAATTGAATCGGCGATTCGATGGAGACTCAGAGGTAGAAATATGAAGAGTAAGAAGTTTGTTTCTCTTATTGAAGAAAACCTTATTCACAGATGAAACTTGACGTTCTCTCTCATGAATGATAAGCTGCCAGTTCCTGTAACTATTTCTTATTATTTCCCACTTTTAAACTCTTGTACCTTATGCAGCTGATTTTAATTTGACCGTCTTTCAATTTCCTTTGACGTCTACCCAGTCATGTTAATTGTGTTACGTAACTCAGTTTACCTGCTTAACTTTACTTTTGCTTCCACATTTCACTGTTTCCTACATTGCGTTATTAGGAATCTCTTGACTGTTATATAAAACCATCAATTTTAATGTTATATCCTCGGGAATATTTCTTTTGTTACTATGAAAATGTACCACATATATATGCATGCCATTGTGCATCTTGAGAATAATATCCCTGAAAAGAGAAACTCTTCACTGAATACGTCTTCTTTCTGTAGATTTTTCGACAAATAAGTTCTACGTTTTAAGAATTATGTTGGCATCAGTCACTCTCTGACAAGTCGGCACGATGTTACTTTCAAAACTAAACATATAGTAACGACTTACTAATGCAGTCGCGATTACTGTACACTGGATATATAAAAACCAAAGGAAGTAGAAGCCATCAGTTCTAAATAATGCCCTTATCACGTTAAGCAACTCGTACAAATATTACAAATAAACTGTACATCAATCTGTTATATATATATATATATTATTCCTTTACGTTCCCAGTGGAACAAGGAGCTTCAAGCTAGTGGTTTGAAGTTTAGGTGGCAGTGGTGTTTATGTTTACGTAATGAGGTTGCTAGCCCCATGCTCAACCTTCCCTCTTTATCAGTCTTACTACTGGATTAACGAGGTGAAGGAGTGCGTCGTCCGGGGATCGAACCCAGAACCACCTACGTAGTTGGCGAGCATTCTACCGCTGTGCCACCAACGCGGGTTATATATATGTATATTCATTTTGCAATCTTATTTATGTCAGCAGATTGCACCTGATATATGTTTAATATAATAATCAGGTTAAATGTTTACAGGATGCCAGTAATTTCTGGATCCTTCTTGTTCCTCAAGTCGCCGTTTGAGTTCACGTAAAGGAGTGAATATTTCAGAATATATAAATCAGATTTAAGCCAATTAGCACATATATACTAAGGTGTAGACTTTCTGTAGATCTGTTGAATGATGCCATCACTTAGCCTGGTTGTTTTCCTCTCTTTTACTAATTATTTTGTAAGTTTCTATGGTTGCTGATGTCATGATTTCTAGATGATTTAAAAAAATTTCACTTTTCATTTTGTTTATGTGAATGAACTATTGCAATCATTTAGGTGATAAATGATCATGTTGGCTAGTGTGTTATTTCATGTCTTATTTTGTTTCTATTCAGTTGTTATATACTGTCAAGTAAATTATGTAGTAGTTCAGCTTAATTTTTTGACAAGCGGTTTAACTGTTAAAACCTAAAAATTGTAGAAAATAAATTATGGTTTCATCCTGATAAATATATGACCTAAAAAAGTCAGGACAGAAAATACAGCCCAAATTACAAGTTACATTAAACACTTTCTCATATATGGTTAAACTTATTCTTTTCAGCCCTCTAGCGCTTAGCATAATGTTATTTTTCCTATGGTGCTTGTCATTATTAGTTTTAAGGGTGAAATAAATCAAATCCTCAGAAACTCAGCTAAATTATATTGTGGAAAAGCGTTTACAGATTCATCGATTTTCGGTAAAACAGCTACACGTCCATCAGATACCCCAATCAAACCATCATATAAACTGCGCTTCACTAAAAGTGTAACATAGACAAAGCAAAGTTAAACATATGAAGATTAGAAGTAGACCACAAAGCAGATGAAAAACATCAGCAAATTCACATCTTCATTTCATCCTGTCCTTCGCAGTCCTCTTCAGCTGGCCGCCTATCGCCCAAGTACTGTCATCACCTCCTGAAACGATCTAATCTACGTTACTCTCAGACGCTCAGCTTATCTCTTCCCATTTGGGAACATGATGTCATTCAGCGTGTGTTCTATCCATCTTCATTTCCTTCATCACATTTGTTGCGTAACACGTTCTTGGCTAATTCGTTGCCAGGGTGACAATATTACTATTTGCGAATTGTGAAATCAGTGTAAAATTTAAGATTTCCTTACTGTCAGTTGTAGTTTGTCCTTACAGACGTTACTTCCACTCCAACCGATCTTGTTCACTTCATTTGAACATCAGTAATTTTATATCAAAACACTCTTATACCATCTGGTTTTCTTTGCTTGTTTTTATGTTAGACAACAGTCTGTGGCATTCACGAACGTACTCAGCCAGCAAAATCTTGTTTGTGCATTGGTTGTGTTAAACACAATGAAAAAATCTCCATGTGAATATCTTTTCTGCTAAATTTATTGTTCAATAGACTAGGGAGGTTCTCATATTTCACACCCGTAGCATTTGTACGTATTTCATTGACTGATGCCCTTAGAATATGAGAATATTTTTCCTCGTCTATGAACACCTGATCTGAGATTCGCTAAGAGGCTTATGAAGTAATAATAAATGAATCGTAAACCCAGTTCCTTTCAGGGAAAACTGAAAGTAAAATAAATGTCATGCCGTATTAGTTTTAGAAGTTGTAACCTGATGTATAATAGAGTAGTCGCATAGAGACAAAAGACAGTAAGTACCACTGTAATTTATCTTCCCATCAGAAGTTATATGATTAACGATAGTATATATTTTTTTGATTATAGCTTGATTCCACACCGTATTTTTGATACAAGTATGGAACTTTCAGCATGTGATATCGATAGCCCAATTTGGCAGGCTGACCATTGATAGCAGGTGTGCGTCGGCAGGGCATCGAACCCCGGACCATGTGCATGGTCGGCAAGCATCCTAACCGCTGTGTCACTGACGCAAACTATGTAAATTTTCACTTTGGTTGTTTCAAGATTGGTCGTCAAGCCTTATTCACAAACAGTGTTGTCAATGAATCTTTAGGATCGATTATATCCCTTTTCTAAATAGGACCAAAAGCTGCTGTTTTTTTTTTTACTTCGCATATTTTCTTGTAAAACCAAATACTTTAGAAACTCTCTGATATAGGAATTTTCGCTGGATTTCTGGTCAGATCTAATTTTATCTAAGTGAATCAATATATATATCTATCAACAATTTTCAGCCACTTCAATACTCATTTTTGTTGTTTAATATATTCATAAAGCTTGATGTAAGTGGTTCGTTAAGTAAAAATTGATTTTTCTCCTAGTTTCTTAAACAACTTTTTGTCTCTATAAAAATAAAGGCTAACAAATGTTTGCGTGGTGGACAGATTTATAACTCCATTATAGATAAGATTTTACTTTGATAAATCACAGAAGGTGTAGCAATGGGATGGATCACCAGTATCCCCTATCGTAGCAGATATCTTAATGGACAGTTGGGAAAATATTGCTCTTAATACATTTAATCCTACTCCAAAATATGGTGGAGATATGT